TACTTTGTGGTCTCTTAAGACGATGAAGTTGATAAAGCAAACCAGTATCAGTGACTAAGTCTAGAAGACCTAGAAAACATAGTAATAGGTCCTGAACCTATTGCTCTTGCAATTGCACTACAGACATAAAGAAGCAAGTGGTTATTTCCACACACTGAGAGCTATAATTTGCAGTCCAGTAGATGATGAAAAAAATACCCCTTGGTGCATTGCAGACATGCTATAAATCACCCAGTAAGCCATGGGTAATTGTAATTGAGAAGAAAACTTGAAAGGAAGAGCAATAAAACTCACAAGGACATCATTGGTATCAGATCAAAACCACAGCTCTTTGGTTGAGGGAAACAATATTTTAATGAGTAAATGTTCATCTCCAAACCAAAAAGTGAAGTAGACCATATTCCACAATGTAAATATTGGCAACCTATGAAAGCTAGTAAATTTTACAAGACTTCAAATGAAAGTTAATTTTTCTTTTTTTCTTTTTCTTTGTCTTTTTTTTTTTTTTTTAAGATGCAGCTATCAGAGACTATGTCTATGTCTTAGCAGGCTAGCCAGAAAGGAAGTCAAATGACCAATCAAGTTTTTAATGAAGAAATCCAATCAGGCCAGGTGCAGTGGCTCACGCTTGTCATCCCAACAATTTGAGAGGCTAAGGCTGGGGGATCACCTGAGGTCAGGAGTTCGAGACCAGCCTGATCAACATGGTGAAACCCCTTCTCTACTAAAAATACAAAAATTAGCTGGGCATGGTGGCGCATGCCTGTAGTGCCAGCTACTTGGGAGGCTGAGGCAGAAGAATTGCTTGAACCCAGGAGGTGGAGGTTGCAGTGTGCCGAGATTGGGCCACTGCCCTCCAGCCTGGGTAACAGACCGGGACTCCATCTCAAAAAACAAACAAACAAGCTATTTTAATTTTGACGGCTTAACCATTCCCTATGTCTTCATGGTTAATTGAAGGTTACTGACAGTAGACAAAAAAAATGCATTCTCATGTGACTCTAATTTTTCCCATATTCTACTTGAGCAAATTTAAAATATTCTGTTGCCTATACACCCCCAAATCTACGAGTATTAAGACTAGTCAGTCATAAAGTAAACCTGATACGTCAGATGAATGCCAGCACCTATTCAATTTCTTTTTGCTCTGTTTTCAGAAATATCAGAATAAATATGTATCGGCTACTGGAAATTCTAGAAGGAAATCTTCAAGTTTTAATTTTTTTCCAGTGGGGGGCATGCCTCAACATCTTGCATAGACTGTCAGAACTATTAAAAATTTAGGCTGGGCAAGGTGGCTCATGCCTGTAATCCAAAGCACTTTGGGAGGCTGAGGTGGGTGGATTGCTTGAGCCCAGGAGTTCGAGATCACCCTGGGTAACGTGGAGAAACCCTGTTGCTGCGAAAACTACAAAAATTTAGCCAGGCGTGGTGGTGCGCACCTGTAGTCTCAGCTACTCCTGAGGCTGAGGCAGGAGAATCGCTTATACCCAAGAGGCGGAGGTTGCAGTGAGCCGAGATCGCACTACTGCACTCCAACCTGGGAGACAGAGTGAGACCCTGTCTCAAAAAAGAAAAGAAAAGAAAACTGTGCTAAAACTGGTTTTATGACGATAACCGTGACCATATAAACCAAGAGCCTCCTTTGTAACCCACACAATAAGAAAGTTTCACAGCATGTTCCAACAAATATCAGTTTGGTGCCTTTAGAGTCTTACTCTGTTGTAGTGATTATCAGCTGAAAATTATGTCTGTTGTAACTTTGGTAAGCATTCCACTTTGGTTATTTATTAGTGGTATTTTTTTTTTTTTAAGTGTCAAGTGTCAAATCTTGGGACGATTAAAATACCATGATAAGTAAAAAAGAAATATGTTCTGAGAACTGGTACCTATCCACGACATAAGTGCAGAAATTGAGAGTAAGAGTTTGCATACTTTCAAAGCTACTCGACAGAGTTATTTCGTATACGCTAAAAAAAATAAGAAAAATCTGTACGTGTCTTTTCCATGTTTACATTTTTAAATTTCATTTTCCTAAGTATATTTTTGTGTATATTATAAAAGTATTAGGCCTCCAAGGACTAGGAGAAAAACCTCAGATAGTAGAGAATAGCCTAAACGACCTATATCTTCAACAGCTTAAACCATCTGCGCTAGAGCCTCCCTCAATGAGGAACTACAATGCCCAGAATTCCCCCCAAAATTCGTGAGCGACGTCCATTTCACCCACCTCGCCGCGACGCCCCCTGGGATATGTAGTGCTTGACTTCCGCAGTGCACGCTGCGCCAGCAGTACATTTTTTCCTGGTTTGGGGGCAAGGTCTCATGGGAAAGGTCATGTCTCTCGAGGAAAGGTTATAAACCCTTTGATATGAAGGTTGGGCGAGAAACAGAGCCTGTTGCGTTCCGTGTTGGGACCGGGAATAACCCTGACTTCTGAGCCTTCATAACCCCAGGATACTCCAGAAAATTTGCGGCGCGCTGAGGGAAAACCTTGCTGGCAAGTCGGGACCGTGTCGCAGCGGCTGTTTTTCTTTTCCCACCCAGCACGTTTTCGGGCTGGCGACAGAGGGTTCGGTGGAGATGCAGAGGCTCCCTTAGGGATATTGGGTTCTCCGAAGTGCGGATGGACTAGGGCTGGGCTGAGACCACATTCTTTCAGTCATTCAGCTCTCCTGTATGCCCGGCGCAGAGGATACCCCTTATGGTCCCAAGGCCCCTCCTGTAGTTAAGTTCCTTCCTTAAAAAGTCATTCAGCTGGGGCGAAACTGGGGACTCGACACCTTTCTATGCTAACCTTTGAGCTGCCTCCACTTTGAGCAGCTCAGTGGATGGATACAGTATCTTGAGAAAACCTTTGATTTGTGCAGGGATTTCGTATGCGGGTGTGTGCAGGTCAGCTTAGGTCAGGATGCTATACTGCTTGCCACAAAATAGCCTGTGCTGTCGCGTCGTTTTTTTCTTGTGAACAGACTGTTTGGCATAGCCGTGGAGAGGAGTCTGAGACATGCTTTTAGTGATACAGTGTTGATTTGTTGGTGTAATGAGGCTGTTCAAGTGGAAAGAACTGGGTTGTAGTCCCTGCTTCACTAGTACTAGCACAATTTTTTAAACCTTTTTGAACCTACTTTTCCTTACCTGTAAAATGGAAATAATATCGACCTGGAAGGTTAGCTGAGGGAATTTAATGAGATAATGTGTTTCAAACGTTCTTTGTAAATGGTAACATGTTGCAGAAGTATGAGATTATATGACTTTAGTCCCCGCTTTTCTAAGCATTACTTCTCAATTATAAATGTAAGCATTTATAGCATATTTTAAAAACAAATTATTCTTTTTCATAATTATCTTTAGTTCTTTTATTGTTTCAGCATGACTTGCAACATTACTTAATTTCTTAGTATTTCTTGATTAGTGCTTTAATTGTCTCGTTTATTGGTTAAAACCTATCCAAGGCCAGTAATGATTAACTTGCATGACTTATTTATTTATTTATTTATTTATTTACTTCAGGAAGGAATTATTTGAGCTCTTTAAGGGCACAAGAAAAAGGAAGAAATTATCCTGAAAGCAAATAAACCAGAGACCATACTTCTTTTTTTTTTTTTTTTGAGACGGTGTGGAGTCTCGCTCTGTCGCCCAGGCTGGAGTGCAGCGGTGCGATCTCGGGTCACTGCAAGCTCCGCCTCCAGCGTTCACGCCATTCTCCTGCTTCAGCCTCCTGAGTAGCTGGGGCTACAGGCGCCCGCCACCATGCCCGGCTACTTTTTTTGTATTTTTAGTAGAGACGGGGTTTCACCGTGTTAGCCAGGATGAACCAGAGACCATACTTCTGAAAAATGTAAAAAAAAAAAAAAAATCTGAATTAAGGCATACACTTTTAAGACACTTTAAAGGTGATTATTTATTTTAAACAATTTTCCTCTTTTTCGAAAAGACAGCTCTGAGTTTGTGGGCTTTTTTTTTTCCTTTTATGGTAAATTTGAAAACTATGTAAATGTCAGATTTAAAACACTTTTAAAATGGAGTGCAGAAAGAAGTGCCTTTTTCTGGACATTTATTTTTGGATCAAATTCTGCTATCTGGTTTAGACTAAGAAAAAGTCTTTAGTTAATGCAGAAAAAATGTATTACTTTATTTTGAATTTTGAAATCATTTTGATGTTAATGATGTAAGCATAACCATGTTAAACCAATTCTTTTATAGAAGCTGTATATTGGAATGGGTTTACAGTCATCGTAATGGAAGCAAAATACATGAAGGAAAAACAGTTCTTTGTATCCCTGCTTATTGCACCTGACGACTAGTTGCAGATGATTTTGTTTACCTAAGAAAACTTGTGATGTAAATGAAAAAAACACCTGTTTTCCTAGACTCATTGGTTACAGATATGCTTCGTCTAAGAGCTATTTGTCCATTCTCCTGGAGAGTATTTCAATTTCGACCCATCAGTTGTGAACCACTAATTATTCAGATGAATAAGTGTACAGATGAGGAGCAAATATTTGATTTTATTGAAAGAAACAAAGCCATACTTTCAGAAAAGCAAGTGGGATGTGCGTTTGATATGCTTTGGAAGCTTCAAAAGCAGAAGACCAGCCTGTTGAAAAATGTTGAGGATGTCAGAGACCATCCTCAATTTCTTACTCTTCATAATTTAGCTACAAATAAATTCAAATTAATGAATGACGATACCCTGGTGAATGTGTTACACATCACACAACGGTAAGTAATTTACTTTTATATTTTATGGAAATGATTATTTAGTTTATATTTTAGTTTTCTAAAAATCTCTTTATTTTTATTTTATTTTATTTTTTTTTGAGGAGTCTGTGTTGCCCAGGCTGGTGTACAGTGGCAAGATCTCAGCTCACTGCAAGCTCCACCTCCCAGGTTCACGTCATTCTCCTGCCTCAGCTTTCTGAGTCGCTGGGACTACAGGCGCCTGCCACGACGCCCGGCTAATTTTTTGTATTTTTAGTAGAGATGGGGTTTCACTGTGTGTTAGCCAGGATGGTCTTGATCTCCTGACTTTGTGATCCGCCCGTCTTGGCCTCCCAATGTGCTGGGATTACAGGCGTGAGCCACCGCGCCTGGCCTAAAATTCTCTTTAAAATGAAAGATAACTTTTTCCCCAGTAGTTTTCCTGATAATCTAATTTTTTTTTTTTTTTTTTTTGAGACGGGGTCTCTCTCTGTCGCCAGACTGGAGTGCAGTGGCGCCATCTTGGCGCACTGCAAGCTCCGCCTCCCAGGTTCAAGGGATTCTCCTTTAACAACTGTAATACTATTGTTAACTTTGGGCATTTGAAATTGGATTATTGTGGAATTTTGTAAAAATGTGTTTGGCCGCAGAAGAGAATATAGTAGGTAAGCAGTTGTATTTAAGATTAATGCCGGTTGGGTGTGATGGCTCACGCTTGTAATCCCAGCACTTTGGGAGGCTGAGGTGGGTGGATCACCAGAGGTTAGGAGTTCAAGACCAGCCTGGCCAACATGGTGAAACCCCGTCTCTACTAAAAATACAAAAATTAGCCGGGCGTGATGGTGGGCGTCTGTTATCCCAGCTACGCGGGAGGCTGAGGCAGGGGAATCTCTTGAATCCAGGCGATAGAGGTTGCAGTGAGCCGAGATCACCCTACTACACTCCACTATGGGCAACAGATCAAGACTCTGTCTCCAAAAAAATAATAAAAAAAAGAGATTTTGTAGAGTCATTTATATTTGATAACAAAGTTGTACGAATTATGTGGATGACTGAATAGGTGTTAGGTAAAAAAGGGCTTCCTTGGTGTCGAAGGAAAAACTCAGAGATAAATGTTAAGAAATACTATATTCCAATTTTGGAATTTGTGAAGAAAAAACAAATGAAGAGAGCAAAGAAAAAAGGAAAAAATAAAATAAAAAGAAATGTGTTCTTTGCAAGGAAATCCAGCCTTCAAAAGAACTGGGTTCCCTGAATGAAGGCTTCAGCAGTTGTGTAAGGGGGAAAAACACAAAAAAGTTACACCTAATTTGTTTATTAGTCTCACTGGTGAAAAAGAGCAGTTTTCTCACATGATGACCCAACCTTCAAGGGTTATTTAAATGGGTGTAAATATCAGCATTACGTAAGTTAGAGATGTGTAAGTTGGTTTTGTAAGAGAATTAGCATTTATAGGAAAGGGGCTTAAGGCTTATATTGGGGATTGATGTTAAACTAAAAAAGGATGATTCCATATTTTTTGGTGGTCTTTCTCAGGTTACAAAGTTGTTTTCTCTGAGGTACTTGAAGGGGATGCTTGAAGTTTTATGAATAAGGTGATTGGTGACTATTAGCTTTTTTTTTTTTTTTTTT